CTTGCTACATGCTCTAATGCATTAATATTTTATGAAAGTATTTTCTGTGGCCACGGAAATATCCTTTCCTAGAGTTGATATGAATTTACACTGAATGTTCGCTGGACGAACAGATTGGTTGATGGCAATTTAATTCTGCTACAGTTACTACTGGCAGCTGATATAAATAATTGTAATTAATCATAATTAACTGTAATTATTTATATACATTTCCCTTTTGAGCTAATTTAACACTACCCAATACCTAAACATAACTACCTTACTAACTATTAATAAGCTGCAAATTAGGAGTTTATTGAAGCAAAAGTCGTAGTTAATGGTTTGAATTGGACCTTAAAATAAAGTGTGACCGAAAATTCTTAGCAAGAATTTTTATTTGCAATCTTTTTTTTTTTATTACAATAGTTATATTGCTCTCAAACACAATATATTTGATTGAATAAAAAAGAGACAAAAGTAACTCTGTAAGTATTTTTTCTGATCCCCTTAATTCAGATAACATCCTTAAAAAGCTACTATTCAGATGCTTAAATGTACTTAAGACATAGTGAATATTTGCTAAAATGCAGGGACATTATGTTAAAATGTTAAGGTGGATGTTGTACAATATTTAAAATGATAAATACAAATATTTAAAATAGCATATGACCAAGTCAGTGACAGATGATTGTGATTGAAAAAATCCTCACAGAGTGATGTGACATAATAACTTGAATAAAAACACATATCTTTCCTATTCATAAACGCTGTACATGTGCTTGACATGAACTTTGCCTGGCAAAGACAAAGTCACAAGTAATCAATTAATTATCAGTGAAAATATTGCCATTCCTTTTTTTAGCATAATAATTAAATTTTCACAGTTATCAACTAATAATATATCGTCCACTGATATTTAGCTCCATCCCTATACAAACCTATACCTGCCTGTAATTTTCAAGTAATTCTGAAAACTGTAACACATTACAGTATGGTAACCTATTCTTGAAATTGTCAATGCATCAGATCTGGCAATGAATAACCCTTTTATCTTTGCTTTTTTTCCCCAGAATCCTGATTTGAGGCTAAGGTAAGAGATCTAAAATGATCAGTTTCAGTAACTGTCAGGTACTGTTAAATATTACTATTTTAAATCTTATCTACCAACCAAGAAAACGTGAAAAAGATTAACCCAGTAACTTTGTTTTGGTAAGCCGACTGTTTTTTGTAACTGTGACAGCCGCTTTCTGTCCGTGTGCTTCGGATGTGTGCTCTCAGAAAACCTTATATCAGAAGTTTAAACTAATATGGTTTAAAACGCATGATTTCAGTGCAATAAACATGATAATCAGAACCAAGACAGATGTTTTTAGCAGGTCGCAGGCTCTATTCTGGAAAAGGGGGTGGGGAGCAGCAGCTCATTTGTATTTAAAGAAACAGGCCCGAAATACAGCGTGTTTCTGCTTCCCCTCAAAATAGGCATTTTCAAAATGTTATAATAAATGATCTGTGGAGTATTTTGAGCTGAAACTTTACATACACATTCTGGGGACACCAGAGACTTATATTACATATTGTAAAAAGGGGCATAATATGTCTCCTTTAATTAATATAAAAAAAAGGTAAGTTCTGTTCCGTGATGCTGGTAAATTGGTTTGTTCACAATGATGTTGTGTTCCATTTACCTGGCTCAGTGCATATAAAACAGTCTGTAACAGACAAAGCAATAGTGACACATGGTAAAAACATTACTCATAATTGTGTGGTGTGACATTACTGTCGGATCCAATCAGTGGCGGGCACTCGTAACTAGCGGATGGAATCGGACTCAATATTCAGGTCACACTCTTTTCTTTGATCCTATTGAAAAAGAAAACGTGGAACACAGTGGAAGACACACATAGTAAAACTACCATGCCTCTGTCACCGTTACTAACGTGCCCATTGTCAACATATCAAAATCATTCACAATAGCCCCAATCCCCAAATACTGCTGCAGATTACAGTAGCTACAACCTGTCCACATACAAAACCTGAGTATCAGTTAGAACGGAAATTAAATATGAAAACAGTCCGAAATCCGAAACAGAAGTCATTTAAAATGTTTTTTGTATAATTTTCATTTTCATTTCATCATTCTACATAAATGTAGCCTATTCAGGTCACTGCATTTCCTCATATTTCCATCAAATAACTATATTATATTAAAGTTATACAACTAAAGTGTATAAAATTATTTTATTCAGAAATGTCATTTGTTTTTTTTGTTTTTTTTATTTGTTATTTAAATTAATAAACATACATATTTGGAAACAGGTGCAGTAAGTCGCCGGCGTCAGTCACAAGATTTATAAAAATAAACAGCATTCTTTAGACACAGCACACTTCACGACATATTATGCCCCTTTTTGCAATATATAATATAAGTCTCTGGTGTCCCCAGAATGTGTGACGTTTCAGCTCAAAATACTCCACAGATTACAGCTTGGACCTGCTAAAAACATCTGTTTTGGTTCTGATTATCATGTTTATCACGCTGAAATCATGCGTTTTAAACCATATTAATTTAAACTTCTGATATAAGGTTTTCTGAGAGCACACATCCGAAGCACACGGACAGAAAGCGGCTGTCACAGTTACAAAAAACAGTAATTTGTATTTAAATTTAAGAATGAAATCATTTACCTGTTGAGAGTGTGTTGACAGTCTGTAGTTGGATCACTGAACTCCAGAAAATCAGTAATGAGGAGCTTTAACAGTTACAGATTTGAAAAACAAAAGGGCGGGAATAAAGAACCTTAAACTCTAACACAAAGAACCATTTCAGCATGAAAGGGTTATTCAGAATGCTATGGTTCTAAATAAAACCATTACTGCATGCAAAGAACCATATTTTTTTTTAGAGTAGTGACATTCCAAAGAGGCACACAATCACTGTCACCGACTTTTACATTAACTGTTCTCTCCTGGTGGAATGACCTGCCCAACTCAATCCGAGCAGCTGAGTCCTTAGCCATATTCAAGAAATGGCTTAAAACACACCTCTTCCATCTTGACCCTCTAACACTAGCACTCTCTATTCTATTTCTATTCTATTTCTATTCTAACTACTCTTTTTATTTTTATTTTTTTAAAACCCAAACCTTCTAAGACTAGCATTCTCTATTCTTCTTCTATTCTGTTTTGTTTTGATTTATTATAAAAAATTACCCTCTAACACTAGCGTTCTCTATTCTTTTTCTGTTCTTTCAACTTTTTCTTTTTATTTATAAAAAAAAAATGACCCTCTAACAATAGTGTTCTCTATTCTTTTTCTATTCTATCTACTTGTTTTCTTGATTTATTCTGCTGATTAGTGTCCATTTGTGCTGATAAACAACAACTTTGTCACGTATCAAGCCTCTGTGGTTCCCCCTGATCGACACCAGAGGGCACTTTCACCTGAGTAGTAGTTTCCTCTGGACTTCATTTCCCTTAACCCCGTACCTGGCACTGATTAAGAGCACACCAGTGGCTCATTCCCAGGACTATTTAAGCTCCTTTGTTTTTTGTGTAGTGTGCGTGTTATGTTTACTCCTGCTCCGGAGTACTCCTTGATTTTTTAGAGTGTTTAAAGAGTTTAATTTAATCATTCTGCATCAAGCATATTGTATCACTGCATTACAATGTGACAGCTTTCTATTAAAGAGGCAAAGTACACAGTAGAACTAATCAATTGTACTATGAACACTGGGACAAAGTATCTCCTTGAGGAAAATTCAGTGCAATCCATTAAAACAATCCAATGAGGTATTAGGTATTACTGTTATTAAAAATGCTGAACTTATTAAAGGGGTGGTTGATTATGATTTGACTTTTTTTAACTTTAGTTAGTGTGTAATGTTGCTGTTAGAGTATAAACAACGTCTGCAAAGTTACGACGCTCAGAGTTCAATGCAAAGGGAGATATTTTCTTTTTAAGAAGTCGCTATTTAAGGACTACAAAAAACGGCTGGTAGGGACTACAACGAGCTTCTTCCTGGGTTTGTGACTTCACTGACCCTGATGTTTACGTAAACCCCGCCCCCGGGAACACGCAACTATCCATAATGGTAAGGGAGCGTGACGTTTCCGGACAACGTGCACTTGGCGGTTAGCGAATCGCAAACACACTGAGCCCGCTAACCAATCAGACCCCATTGCATATTTCTGAGGGAGGGGCTTCATAGAACCAGGAACTCAACAGACCGTTTTGACAAGAATGGAAACAGCGGTGTAGAATAAAGGTAAAATATGTGAAAATTACTGTGTTTTTTTTAAAACGAAGCATGAACACATTACACTGCACCCCATAAACACAATCAAGCTTTTGAAAAGAGCTGATCAACCACCCCTTTAAGAATTTCTGCCATTTTATAAATAATTTTAACAAATTCACATTTTTGTAGCTTACAGGTAATAAGAGTATAATTTTCAAAGAAAAAAAGTGCCCCCTAAATGCCGTTATCTGATAAATGAATGGCCATAAAAAGTCATGCTGAATCATATGTACAGGTTTGATTGCACATGATGGAAGTCCAGCCAGAAAAGCACTGCAATAGTCCAGCCTAGAAATGACAAGGTCCTGGACGATAAGTTGTGCAGCAGGGCCTGATCTTCCTGATGTTGTGCAGTGCAAACCTGCTGATCGAGCTGTCCTTTCAATGTGGTCTTTGAAGGTCAGCTGGTCATCAAAGATTGCCCCAAGATTTCTGACCGAACTTGATGGGATTGTTGTTGATGAAGCTAGCTGAATGGTGAAATTGTGCTGTAGAGTCAGAGTGGCAGGGAAGATGAGAAGCTCTGTGTGACGAGTGGTGCGGGGCCGAGAGTCGTGGGAACGGAGCAAGGCCGGTGGAGTAAATGATAATGGACAACATACAGGTTGAGCTGTATGTGGTGTTCTTTCATCTATGCCAAGATGTCCACCAGGCTGAGATCAGAGATCTGTGCACCTTTTATCTAAAGTGATTTACAAAAGAGGAACAAAGCAGTTTGTCAAAGAGACAACAATGTTCATAGTACACAATGCCCGTTTTTTTAGATTAGGAGGTAGGCTTGAGCAGAGAAAAGCAGAGTTGATATATTTATTTTGTGTGTGTGTGTTAGGTGCATTGGTTAAGAGTGTGGGGTGGTTAGGTTTTTGCAGAAAAGATGTGTCTTCAGCTGCTTCTTGAAAGATGTGATGGTCTCAGCCATTCAGATGGATGTTGGCAGCTTAGTCCAGGAACAAAGAGGGTGAAGGATTTGGAGAGTGACTTTTTGCCTTATGAAGGCATTGTTCATTCAGAGACCTTAAAGGGGTCATATGATGCTGCTAAAAAGAACATTACGAGCCGTTTTAGGTAGGTGTGACTGACTCTTAACTTTTATAAAGAATATCTCTTTGGTTTTGAGACTTTAGTGTTTGCAACTTTACAGATCTTCTTTATGCACCAAGAGCTTGTAACACTCCAAAGAGAAAGGAAAAATTGAAATCACATCATATGACCCCTTTAACTGGCTGGATGAAGGTAGTGAATTGAGGTAGGGAGGTGCTATTCCAGTGGAAGTCCTGAAAGTCAGCATCAAAACCTAAAATTTGATTCTGGCTGTAAATGGGAGCCAGTAGAGAAATGCAGTAATCCAGCCTTGAAATTACAAAAGCTTGGACAGAAAGGGTCTAATTTTCCTAATAATTTAAAGTACAAACCTACATGTCCAAGTCATTGTTGTGATGTGGGTAGAAAAGCTCAGCTGGTCATCCAACACTACCCAAGGGTTCATAGTTGTCCTGGTTGGTGTTATTGTTGTGGACGCCGGTTGCACAGTGATGTTGTTGTCAATTGATGGGTTTACAGGGATTACCAGGTGATGTTCCTTCATCCAAGCAGAGATGTCTGATTGGCAGGCAGAGATATGAGCTGAAACAGTGGTGTCATCAGGTTGAAATGAAAGATATAAGACCAGCTCCCCCATCTCTCCTAACCTAACTAGGGGTGTGAGGGAAAGAAAAGCTGTTAGAGAGAGCAGCAGGGGTTGCTGCATCCTCAGGTCAAATCCAGGTCTCAGTCAAGTCCAAGATACTAAGAGCTGGCTGAGTAGCAAAGGCTGGAATTAAGTTTTATTGGCAGCTGACTGACATTTCC